TGATGTTATGCTACAGGAGCAAATAACGCAAGGGTCAATCTCTAACTGGGAAATTCTGCTAATCTCCCAGTTTTAAACTAAAAGTAGCAGAATTGTCAGTTTAACTGGTAATAATATTTCTTGGCATTTCATCACTTGGACAACAGCAACTTAACCACAAGTCTTCTGAGTATATCTTTTATATATATTGATCTGAAATCTCCTTCGTAACAACCAAATAAAATACATTTTAGCCACAAAAATACTATCAAGGTCAGAGTCAGTGATGATTAAAATCTTTCCCCAAACTCTACAAAATGAAGGGCATTAATTCATGCTAATTTTGCTTAAATTGCTGCTGCCCAATTAAAAAAAAGAATCATTTCCAAATCAATTCTTGCATTTAATTTTTTTTAAATTACCCAATGTTGTCCCCAATAAGCACGGTTGTTAACACACACTAGGAAACACTACTTCTTTGCATTTCCTCAAACAAATTAAATTAGACCAATTAAATAATAAAATGGAATATGGTATTTCACGTCAATTTCCTGAAGTACTTTATATCGACTACATGTGAAATGGCAGTCATTTATTCCTGGTGTTCAGCTCCATTAAAGACACAAGGCTTGTGTTTTTCAACCACACAGGAAATACCTCACTAGAAAAGTATGCATCTCCAGAGCCAATCCAATTCAACAGTAAAGTCATGCTATGTAAACCTGACATAATTCTGTGAGCATTCAGTCTATTTTTGCTCTATTAAATATGCATTACACGTTTCCCTCCGAAAGCAGCAGCAAAAAAATATTGCATTCACACACTCGTAGCTAGACAGTCCATTTTAAGTACATAGAAATATAAAGATGCACATCAGTGAATCCTTTGTTTTTAAAGAAAAAAGTTTAACTTTTACAAGAAAACGGTGACATGCTTTGCCCTGGCAATGTTACCATTTCTGAAAGTAGGTTGACGTGCATTCTTCTCACACCGCAGGAATCTGTAAAGTGCATTTCCTTTGTAGTGATGTGCAGGGTTTTCATCAACTAACTTCAGTTATATTTAGCAGAGGATTGTTGCCAATGCCAAAATAAGAAGCTTTGACCAAATGTTACAAGGAGCCTTTAATGGTGCAGTGATCACGTTTCACAACACTGCAATAGATCCAGTTTACTGGCAGAATAAAGGCTTTCTCTGCTAAAATCTGCAAATCATTACCTATTCCACCCACGTGCTATTTACTTGCGGAGTTAACTTAGCTAGATTTTTTTTGAAAAGCAGGATCTACGTGTTTTGTCTCCCATTATTACATCAACAATATCTCAGAAAAAATGCATTTGCAATTATTTTTGTTTAAAAAAACTCCAGCCATATTTACAACACTAGAAAGAGGATGTACACTTTAGCAAAGGTGGCCTTTAGATCATAAGAAACCTCGTAATGAGGAAAGGCCATGTATCTTAAGAAGCCAAAATTGTGGGCTCCACCTACTCAGTCCATCTACTGAGGAAAATTCTGCACAAATACTTCCAACAGACACAAATCAAGCTAGACATCTAAGATAATCCTCTATCCCCACAGCTACATGAGCAAACAGCATGCGCCACTTTTTTTTGTGTGTGTGTCTGTCTCTGTGTGTATGCCTCTGTGCTTCTGTGAGTCTCTGTGTGGTGGTGGGCCCTGAGAGATAGGAGGTGGTGACCCCCTGGAGGCCCGCAGTCAAACCTAATTGCACCCCACCCAGTGGGCCAGACAGTTTTTGTTAAAGAGAATTCATAACAATCTAATATGTGTTATTTCTTCCTGTTTAGTTTTTAATCAGTCAAGTGTAAAAAAGTAGGTTGGCAGTAAAATATACCTCAATATCACCAACCGACTCCCTGTAATTTCCCGCAAAGTTTGTCAAACTTGTCTGCAATTTTTGGCAAATAATTCCACAATTTTCTATTGGCCCTGGTTATAACCCAGTCCGCAGACACATTATAAGTGAAGCGCGAGAAGCCCGACTTCTGCATCACCGGGTCACATAGCCTGCATGCAGAGAGTAACATCAGCCACGTTTCTTGTGTGTAGCGCACCTGTTGCCAACATAAAGAAAGTGACATTACTGGTGACTTTGAAGTCGCCTTTTTTAAACACAGGAAGCTGGCCAGTCAGCACCAGAAGCGAGATAGTGCCTTACAGAGGGAAACTGGGCATTATAACTAGGTTCACCTTTAGATGCATGGATTCATGCTGCAGAGGAATCAGGTTCAAGAATTATGCTGTTGACTGTCACAATTTTGCCCCAGGCCAGTTTCTCAGGTAGCTCAGGATAATTTCAGATTTGAATTTGTTTCTAAAAGGTGCTTTGGAAACAGCAAAGCATCAGTAGAGAAACTGAGCACCACCAGTATCCACATCAATTAAATTACTTAACCAATTGTGCTTTTAATTTAATGATATTAATTGATACTTAAATGCTCAGATTCTTATAAATTAAAAAAACAAGAACAGATTTCATTTGTATAGAGCCCTTCACGCGGGGTAGACTCTCGGAGGGCATAACAATGGCGTGGTTTGATGCCTAGTCAGGGAGAAAGGGGAGATAACTGCAGACGTGTTCTTCTGATTAAATCTAATCTGTAAATTAAAAACTGAGTTGTAAAATTGAGGAAAATTGCTTGCCTTGAATGATTCTTTTTAAAGAATAATTTCACTACAGGTTGGAATCTGGGGAAGTCTTCCTCAAGCACATCTTATTTTAATAAAGTCCTTAAAATGTTTGGGTAACCCTACAAAATACTTCTCTTGTGCCAGTTAGGAAAACACCTGTTTCTCGTAAAATACTCAAGTGTAATAAATGACTGTACTTATTTTCCACATTTACCCAGAGACTGAATTGCCCTTACATTAATTATCTCCTTGTGCCAATTTTCACAAGAATTAATCTTTCACATCTTACTCTGTGGGTCAGCATTTAAAGGCCAGGAACACATAATAGTGCAACGTTTCTAAGTCTACACTCGTGGAGTTGGAGACGTGCCTTCTTATCCACGGGCACATCTCTCTTAGTCTGGTGTCGAACAACACAGCAAGTTGGCAATATAAAACAGGTGAAGCATCCATTTGATGCTGGATTTTCCCCCTTTTTAATAATAATAATCCTTGCGTTTGATATAGCATTTTATCACATCGCCGAGACGTCTCAGGATATACTGTGTAATTTATAGGTGAACACGGCAGCCAATTGGCACATAGCCATATCCTACAAACAACCATGAAGTGAATGACCATTTTTAATCAGAGAATTTGTGCCTAGGTCATGGGGAGAAAGCTCCCTCTTCTTTTCCACCTGTGGGACCGCAGTTTAATGTTTCATCTGAAGGACGGCACCTCCGACAATGCAGCAGAGAACACATCGGAAGTTTGCTACAGCTTGTGCCAATACTGTTCAGGAAGAGCAACAGAAGGTGATTGAGACTAGACCAGAATGATTCGCCTGCCAATTTCCCTTCCATTCATTTGAGGAACTCCCTGACCTCTGTTCACTGCTTTAACCTTGTGGTATAGGGAAGATCAGAAATTCAACCAGTGGAGAATTGCGAACACATTTTATCAGTCCACTGTACTCCACTGCTCTTTATCTAACGATAAGAGGAACTTACATCTCTCCACACGTTACGATATCACCAGTGTCCGAATCACTAGAGCCCTCATTTAATTCTCATTTCTATTGACTGATCTTGAAATGTGCTTCCCACAATGTGAAGTCAATTGACAACAATGCACAACATCACATACTTGGAATGAACCTCAGAGGAACAGTTAGTGGAAATTATGCACAAACTTGTCTGTCCTTGTAGTTTAATTAATAACTATTATCAATTAATCAAAGCAATTTAATAATACAAATATAACTGATTGGCACCCAAGTGTTTATAGCATAGCCTAAAAGCTAGCAAATTACGTGAACGAGGACTAACGCCTTTCAGTCCTACTGAATGTGCTTCAAAAACCGAAAGGGTCATACATAAAGCTTCTCAACAGAGGCTCTATTGAGTTGCTCAGGAGTCCCATGTTAACTGAAACATTATGCAACTGGGCTCTTTGGAAACTACCGGAAGTACAATCATCCTATTCATTCAGAGAGCCCAGGTTTCTCTGATCACAACTCAGGAGTAGAAGAGGAAATGAGAACTGGTTAAGAGGTTTTTGGAAACACACCAGCGACCTTTCATGCAAATTTACACTCTGTAAACAATACTGGCATCTATGCATTGTTCAAACAACTTCCACCCAAAATAAAACTAGTAAAGCATTTAGACTAATAATCCAGTGTTGAAGCTGCATGCTGCAAACAGCATTGAATCCCAGCAGGTCTAATGGTAACAGTGTATACACTCCATAATATACTAAAATAAAATATTTAAGTTCCATTAGAATCTGTTTTTTGGCTGACACATTAAGTATCCTAGTCAATATTCCCTCCCCTCTCCATACAAAATTGGTGATTCACTTTTTGCTATTTGTCGAACATAGCTCTGTACAAATTCGCTGCTGCATTCGCCTACAAAAATACAATCACTGCTCCTTACAGTAAATCCTGTGATAGAGATCCTGCTGATGTGGAAGGTTCTATATGAAATGAAAGGGTTATTATTATTTAGTTTGAGGCCTTGAGATACTTCTCCTGGAGAGCACTGGCCTACTTGCAACAACAACTTACATTTATATAGCGCTCTTCATGCAGGGCGGCGTTCCAGAGTGCTCGACAGTGCAGAGCTTAATGCCGATCCGGGGTGAGAGGGTGATCGTAGGCATGGTTAAGTAGGAAGGTCTTCAGGCATGTGTTCCAGAGTTTCGGGGAGTAGTGGCTGAAAGCATGGCAAGCAATGGTGGAACGGAGGGCACGAGGAACATGTAGAATGCCGGAGCCAGTCGAGCAGAGGCAGCAGGTTGTGGGTTGGGGGGTTAAACAGCTCGGAGAGGTAGGGAGGTAGGGCATGAAGGGATTTGAAAACGAGTGTTAGGATCTTGAAATGGATTTGCATATAAATAAAAACCCAGCCAGTGCAGAGAAGAGCAACGAGGATGATCCCAATGTTAAAGGAATGCATGAGAAACAAACTCTTCAGTCTGAAAAGGAGATTTCTAGGAGGGAACCTAATAGAGGTATACACTTTTTCAATAGGATTGAAATTGTAAATCCAAAAGAATACTTTAGGATACATCAAGACAGCAGAACAAAAAGGATACAGGTTTAGAGAAGCAAATGGCAATTTCAGGAAAGACACCAGGAAGTATTTCTTTCCCCAGAAGGTAATCAACAGCTTGTACAGATTGCCAGGAAAAGTAGTTGAGGCCAGGAGGCTGAACTCATTAAAAAAAAAGTTCAATACTGTGATGGGAGGATGGTATAGTGAGTATTCTGAAAGAATGACATCAAATGGACCAAAGGGTCTTCTTCATCTGAACCGACCTTGTGGGAACCAGGTTTGGTAGTATTATTCCTGCTATAGCCCTGTGGCTTTTCTCACCATTAATACATTTCATTTATTGATGCATATAACATTTTACAAAGTGAATTCACATGGGAATCAGTATCTCCAGTAATCTGGCACAGGCTACCCATATATCCTAGTCTAGACTGACAATTTAATTGGTTGGTTCTTTACCACAAGAGTGTATTTCATCAGCACTTGGCAATGGAGTACATTTTAGCAGCTGAGCACTTAATTTTGAGGTAGGGGAGAGGGGAAGCAGTCCTCCCCGGCACAAATCACAGAGCATGAGAAGCCAACACCCCAGGCAAAAGGGTATAGGAACAGAAGAGGCTTGTCAAAAAGAAAAATGGAAATAGTATAGTGCAACCTTGGATTATACCCGAAACCTGGCAGAAGAAACATTTCCGATGTTACAAAGTTGTGTGGGTGAAACAGATTTTCCTGATTGAATGTTTTATGAGTTTCATTGTTCTTTTGCCACAAAGAATCCTGCTGCAAGATGTTCACCAGATGCATCTCATATCTGCCGAGAAATTACAGTCACTACACTCTACAGTAAATCTTGTGAATTGCTTTGAGGCATCTTCCCAACATGAAATTGAATGCAAAGATTTGTTATTATTACTACCTGTAATCTCATGCAACAGGAAACTCTGAAATTGTGAGTTTAGGATGTTCAAGCTGGTGGAGTTGGATCCTTTATACTGGTCTCCAATTATACCAATCACCAAGCCTATCGTGCAAACCACCGAAGAAGGTAATGGCCAAGCCTGTACAACAATTATAACTACTTCAACTGATATAGTACCCTTCACGCAGAATAGCGTCTGAGAACATTGTACCACAATGCTCCTTTTAACCCGGGTGCACTTTTTAAAAAAAATAAAAACAACAAAGTTTTGAAAAAATGGGAGAAATTACAACTTTATTTTTTTTCCACACAAAGGTGGTTGTTAGAATGTGGAACACGTTACACAAATGGGGTGGGATAGAATAGCTCCAGTGAGGTAAGCAAGGAGAGCAATGGCCTCCTTCTGTGCCATAAACATTCAATGATTCAACTTTGCTCTGTCAAAGTGAATCTCCACCTAACTTGGAACTATGTGGGCAAGAAACAAAATTAAGAGACTTGGAGATCAGCAACTTTTTTTAAAATCTAAAACAAAATCAAAGGTTGCACATTTCTGTTTTATATGAATTCCTGTAGCTCAGTGGTTAGATGCTCGCCTTGCAAGCGAGAGACCTAGGTTCGATTCCCGGCAGGGCGCAACGTTGAACAAGTTTCCTTACTCCACATGCCTCTGTTTACCTAGCAGTAAGTAGGAACCCGGTTGTTAGTCGATTGGCGGATCCCTTTTGTGGGGCTAATAATTGCTTCAAAAGAAATAGAATAATAAATTGATGACTCAATCCATGACTGTTTGTGGGAAGCTGCTGTGCGCAATTGGCTGTTGCGTTTCACCCACAAACATACAGTCAATTCACCTTACAGTATATTCTGTGAAGCACTTTGAAACATTTCGAAGACGTGATGAGGCGCTATATCAAATGCAAGAATTACTATTATTATTTATACACTTCGATAATACCCAAACATTTCAAAGTAACAGCTAGGTGGTGGATGGAGATTTTTTTAAAAAAGGAAATAATTTGCCAACAGCAATGTAAATTTATTTCTACAGCTGATGGACACTAAGTGGTCATAGCATTGCTATCGGCTACACAGAGTTGGATATTCCAGATGGCTGCCACGTGAAAAATCAAATGCAGAATAAGTCAGCAAATCCTCTGCTGACACTTTTATGCACAGCGAAGGGAGTAGATTCCCTTTAAGCATAATGTTAAATGATGACTTCCGTGCACTCAAAATATACTTTTTAAATTGTATTTCATTATTACACGGGACTCTATTTAGAAATATTCAGCTTTAACACACAATAAATAGTAGCTTCAATAGTTATGGTTCATAATTTTCTTAGAATTATGAATTGGCGTCTTGTGATCAGACATTGCGGAACCCTATCGAACAATTCCTTGGTTCGGATTTATAATCAATTGGATATCCATTCCATTTGTTGGACTGTCTGGCAGTCCCTGCAATAAATTACAATGTCCATAATATGTCTTTTGCCAGATTGTTCTCGAATGCTTTGTGGCATTCAATCTGAAAAACAGTTCAATTGGATCAAATTATTTCAAGATTGTAGTGTCAAATGTTACTACCAAGAAGCCACATCTATTTCAGCTTCATGTGCTCAGCAATTGATGCTGTAGCAATAGCCTGCTTCTGAGACATCATAATCCTCCAAAGTACCAGCAACAAACAAACTACACTAAACTCCTGGTAACTTGTCGCTCCAAGGGAAAAGGGCTACAATGACGAGTTATCCAGAGTAGCGAGTCAGGCACACGTATAATACATAAATAAAACGCAGCCGGGATATTGACAGCATGATAACTTAAGTGGTTGTGACAAGTTAAACCAGGGTCAAGTTATAAGGAGTTTACTGTATCCATCACGAGCAATCCTTGAATTATCACACTGCAAATTTAAAAGAATATCAGTAGCTGTAGAAATAACTACAGTTGTGCACAGTATACTTGGCAAGTATTGCCCAGATGAAATGTCCGGAAAATTATTTTTTAAAGCAAAGAAGAAAAAAATCCGGAAAGTTAGGAAGTTAAAGATAGAACTGGCTATGCACCAGAAACCCCAGGATAAGCAGACTGGAGTGATCTGTTATATTCACAGAAAACCAGCAGTGATTCATACAGTAGCAGGTGTCCTGGCCAACAGATCCCCCAAATAAAAAAATGGTCAATCACTCGATGGCTGTTTGTAGGACATTGCTTGTGTGCAAACTGGCTGCCAGGATTCGCCCACAAAATACAGTCAATCCACTTTACAGTATATCATGTGAAGTGTTTTGAGATGTTTGGACGATGTGATAAGATGCTATATCAAATGCAAGGAATATTATTATTACATTATAACATATTGTTGCAATTACACCTGGTTCTAGATTTAATCTATTTTCTTATCTTTTTAGAGCAGCCAGATTTTTAGTAAATTGTTGAATTCAGTCTTAACTTTGAAGACAGTTTTCTGGACTCCTTGAAATAAACTTAAAGAAATATATTGGTTTCATCCTTACGACTATATTTAAAGATTTGCCAAATCCTAGATGCTCTAAAGTGCTAAGAGAGTACAGTAAATCGAAACCAAAGTGCAATTTCTACCTAATACTGAGTTACCAATCTGCTTAAGAATACAGACACTTAGCTCTATTAATGCTTACTTGGTTAGTTAAGGGCACTCGTTTGTAATGGTCTCTCTACCAACAGACACTGCTTAGAAAGTTGACAAAATGCCTTTAAAACGATTAAATAAAATGAACAACAAAAAGTCCCTCATCCCCTCAGCTTCACCATTAGTGACTGTACTTTTGGCCACTAAGCCCTGAGATTCTGGAACTCTCTGCCTCAATTCCCCCTATTTTGCCCCTTCATTTTCCATTTCAGATCATACCTGAAGACCTTCCTCTTTGACTGTGCTTACGATCAACCTCCCTCTCTCCCTGGCTTGGCGTCACGCTCCGCCACTGTTAAGAGCTCCAAGACGTTACCTTGTGTGAAGGGGGCTGTATGAATACAAGTGGTCATTGTTGTTGAGTTCACACAATTGGAATTTGCTGAGGTTGCAAATTTGTGAATAAAGCTAATGGGCTAAGACCTGTAGAATAAAGAGCTAAAGCTCTCTTGTCCTTATAGAAGCACAAGATAGTATCATCTTGGACTGTATCCAAGGCAGTGATGCAAAGTTTGAAAGTTGCACATTTCTGCTGCAAACCTAAACAGCACAGCAATCACTTCATCACCTCACCAACGAATAGCTTTTATCTCCCATATTAAAAAAAAGACTCAATTTTAGAGCAGGGGTGATGCGGCAGTGCCTACCTAAGAACATTTGTGAAAGAAGGAAGAGTTGAGTTCTGGATGCAGCAGAGAGCTGTAATGCTGTGCCGTGAATCAAAAGGTTAGGATTTTATAGGAGACTAGAACATGAGTACACCTGTATTCTCTTAATTATAATACTTAAGAGATTGGAAGGTGTTGTATAGATATCCACAATTGCTTTAATGAGAAATGATGGAAGTATTTTATTCTATTGAAAAATCAATGCTTCTTTATTACAATAATGGCTTTCAGAGACATGTTAAGATGAATTAGTGTTTTAGAATCATAACCAGCTGCAGATGATATAATTCGTCCAACGCAGTCTCTCTTACCAGGATTATTTTGGCAATCATTCATAGCAATTTATTGGTGATTGTTACTAGAGTTTGAAATTATATTAAAACAAATATATGCATTTACTATATTATTTCTTTTTCACATCAACACTGCACTTTTAACAGAATTACCAATTAGACATTGAGCGGTAAAGAAAGCTGGAACTTCCTTTCATTTCTCGAACCAGCTAGCATAAAGCTCCTCTCTCTGGTAGCTGTTGAAATTCTTGACTAAAATTACTTCAGGCGCTTTGGAGTAGGTGCAAGTTCACATCTCAAATCTGTCTATTATTCTCCACTAAGTGGAATTCTCAGCCAGACAAACCTTAAGGCGAGATGAGTGTAGAACCAGTTTTATCTGGAAGACTTTTTTTGA